TATTCTACAACAATGAAAATTCTATTTTATTTTAAATAAGATTTCTTAGCCAAAGAAATGATTGTTTAGAAACTCTAAAGAAATTACTCCCCCTCCCCCCCCCAAAAAAAGTCCCAGTTTAGCAAATTTACAGCATTCAAGAGAAATATATTGAGTAACATCAGAGACTCTAAAGATAGTCTTAAAGCCAGCTTATCCACAGGTCAAAATTAGGGGGAAGTTGTTTTTTGTCTTCATGAATGACTGAAAAGATCCAAACAAAGGCTAGCTGTCTGTCTTTTCCCTTTCCCTCCATTGTTTTTGTAAATTGACTGAGAACAATTGGAGTTTGCAGTACACTGGTATATGTGTGTGTGCGTGTGTGTAATTTACAGTCAAGTTTAAGTAATGATTATGTGCAAGATTGTCAAGGGAGGTGGGTGGGAATGGAGGAAATTAAAGATCTAAATAAGTGGAGAGAACCATTCTATTCATGTATTGAAATATACATACTGATGTAAATAAATGGTTGAGTAAATATATAAGGAGAAGGAAAAATAGCTTTCTTAGAAATTCTAACTAACAAATGTAGAGATTCTTCCTCCAAGAGGTAGGCCTTAATTCCTTTTCCCGTGTGTCTGAGCTTGACTTAGTGACAAATAGTATATAGAAACAAAGAAATACTAATTTAAGAGTAAAAAACCTTGGCAGGTATTATCTAATCATGTGATCAGGCATAATATTACCAGTGAAAAGTCATATTGATATCCTATACAACTCCCCCAGTAGGATATGATAAAGAGAAGAGCACTGATTGTCACAGACTTCCCAGTATTATATAATCCCATTAAAACCATGAAAAAATTTCAAAAGACAGTCCACAAAACACTAGCTGGTACTGTTCAGAAGGGTCAAGGAAATAGTGAATGGATCACTATAATGACTTTGAGCGTCTTTTTATGTGCTTGTTGACCATCTATTTGGTGAATTGTCAGCTCCGATTCTTTCTCTTCTACTCTGTAGCCTTGGAATTGGACTGATGAAGTGTACCCTTAAGCATAGGGGGAGATATAAATAATGAGTTGAAATACTATGAATGAAAATAGCCAAGTAGGGAGTTTTAGGAAGAGTATCTCAAAGATTCATTTACTCTCTTTCATTTTGTGGTAAGCTTACTTGACCTTTGAACAGTTGAATGGATTTACCTCCTAGCTGAAAACAAATTTCCTTCCTCTTGAACTGTCTTAACTAAAGAACTTTAACTCGTAGAGTATATGATGCAGTCCCTCACTTGAGTGGCTACTTAATTTTAATATTTCTTTCAATGTCATTAATTGTATTCAGCATATAATACTACACAGAATCACCATTGTCCATTTTCACTTAGTTTTCATAATCAAAAACAGAAACTTCGTACTCTTATGTAATGCTGTTCCAGCTTTCTCTCCTCCTCATGTTTGTTAACTACTAGTTAACTTTTTTATCCATAAATTTCCTTTCTCTGGATATCTCATATAAATAAAATCTTAAAATATTTATCTTTTAATTATATTTTTACTCAGTATGATCCTTTCATGGTTTATCTATGTCAAAGCCTGGATCAGAACTTCTTTTTCTTACAGCTAAGTAATATACCATTGTAGTTTCATGTACCATACTTTCTCTGTTCATCTCTTGATGGATGGACTGTTCATTTTTTAAGACCTGCTATACTCTATATTCAGTTCTTTGTTGACTTCCATGTGATCAAACATGTTGTACTGTTGAGAGTGTTTTATTATTTTGGTAATGCTCAATTTTTTTCCCCCCAGTCCTTATTTGGAAAAAACTTGACAACAATTTTGAATGAATATGTAGCTATGAAAGCAAAAGGTAAGGATTCAAATTCAGTGGGTTTGTTTTTTTATTATTTCTTTTTTTAGGATATACACCAAACATAGAACAGTTCACCAGTTTTTAGATACACAATTCTGTATCAGGGTTAGCAATATTTTATGCTTATAATAGTATTGACCTTTGTTGTATACAACTCTTAATTCTCTCTGTTGCAGTAATTAGGTGGTAGACACTTTAAGTTGACTGAAGAATATCACTAAAGAACAGAAGTCATTTTTAAAGGCTATTAATATCTTCTTTAGGAAGCTCTTCTAGCCTAATAAGTAAAGAGTTAGTGCCAACTTAAAGGCTGGAGGTTCAAATCCACTGTCTATTCTGAGGAAGACGGCGAGACTGTCTCCTCCCATGCAGTTTACTGCCTCTAAAAATACCCTGGAGGATTGGCAATGAGTCACTTCCAACTCAACAGCACATAACAACCATGTTGTCTTGATATAACCTTGAGAAAATGGCTTTAAACTATGAAGAGATAGGATATTTTTAATGAATAATATCTCATTAAATATCTTCTGTGTGTATTGTGTGAGGAACAAATGACTGAAGTAAGAATGTTAGCAAATAACAATCAGTCATTTTTTTAATACTTAATCCTGATTGTCTTCCCTGTGAGATGGGGAGAAAATTTCAAACTGAAATTTTAATTTTAAATTTTGAACTGGTTATAAAATCCTAGCTTATGATTTATCAAATAATAAGTAGTATTTTCTAAAATTAGTTAATGTTGCTTTGAGGAGAAAGTTGTGATTATTTCATTTTCTGCTGTTGATTCTTTTTAAAGGCTAAAACATAATTGAAAAAGAATTAACATTTGACTTTATTTAACATAAAGTTACATTAAATAGAAAAACTTAATGGTTATTGAGCACTGTGTGCAAACACTGTTTAGGTGGTATCATATTTTTTTTTAACTTATTTTGTGAAAAAGGTACTGACTCACTCCATCATTAAATAATAAAAAACTGTTCAAGGAAATCTTAGATAACTTTCCCAAGGTCACAAAGCTAACCAGTGGAATTTTAAAGCCTAGAATTCACAGGACTAGAATTTCATTTGTAACTCTTCAAGAATGTTTTTTGATAATAAGATTTTATTTTCTTCTGAACTCTAAGTCCTCTCACAAGACTGTTTAATGATATCAAAAGAAAAAATGAATATTTAATCATAACAAAAACGGAATGCTACTAACAATACAAAAATTTATATTCTGTTATAAATTTGCTATGAATTATGAAGGGGAGAGCTTTAGTAGCATAACCTATAGGGAGCTGAACTCAAAGGCAGTGCCTCACTTGTGGTTCAGATCCACCAGTGAGTGATTCTGAAGAAGGAAGATGGGCAATGTCTTTAAGTACAATGGACAGCTCTGAAAACTGAATGGGAGGATTAGCTGTGAATTCCTCTGACTTGACAGCAATGAGTTTTAGAGGGTAGTAGGTTTTGGTTTTTTGGTTTTTGTTTATGTTGAGATTTTTAATTTGTTGTTTTCTTATAGTGGTTGAGGTTTTAGCTTTTATGTTGAATAAGGATCTCTAGTACTGTAGTGTGCAATGTGTCAGGCTATTGACCAGATTAGTGGTTCAGATCCACCAGCTGTTCTGAGAGAGAAAGTTGAGTGATCTTCCTTAAAGATTTACAACTGTCATTACAGTTTGTTTTCTATTATCAGTATCGGACTAGTCACTAAAAGGCAGAGATCAGCAATGTCCCAAATGTTTGATCTGCTGTACCTCTCCATTACTGACTTGAATTGTTCCTCCTCCATTTACTTCCCCCCATGCCTCAATGTCCTTTGTGTTCTGTGGTTCACTGGAGTGTCTCACAGAATCTCCCAGCCTGTCAAGGAAATGACTCTCGTAACTATAGGTGATCCAGGCTATTGTGGAGATGTGGGAGAGACTGGTGAGTGAGGGGCCAGAATCCTGCATGCTGTTGCAGCTCAGCTGGATGCTATGTCCCAGGAAGGAGGGGGCCAGGGCATTGCATTTATGGGCTTCTAGGAAGGTAGGGCTTGTATCCTATCTCCTTCATATAATAAATACTTCATCACAGAACAGGAGGTTCTTGATGGAAGGACTACATAAATTCATTGTACCATAACAACCTTGGAAACCCAGTGGAATTATTTCCTTTAAAGCAAGTTATTACTCTGTTTTAAAGTAATACCTAAATACAATAGGTTAAAAATATGTGTCTCCTTTTTACTAAAAAGATTTCCATTCATTGGCCAGCAAAGCTATAGATATTTTACAAATGCCCATTTCCCCCATATTGCATCTGATACCCAGTGACCTGGGAAAAGGAGACAACCCACTGTAGTTTGGAAAACAACCTTGTTAAATCACTGGGAATTGCAGTCAACTCAGCAGTGGGTTTTGTTTGGTTTAATTTTCGTTGAATAAAACTCTCTAGCTTAAAAATAGATGGTAAGATTTTATGAACTGAGCCCCTTATCATTTTGGTTTTGGAGCACTCCTTAAAAAGAATTAATAGTCTTCAAAGCCTTCCTGTAATGCTTAGTAATTAGTGAACATTATCTTTTAACATTGTTGAGCAATCACAGTGGTCTGGACATGTGGATGTAGAAAGCTAATTTCCACACTGACAGTTTGCATTATCTCTACAGTAATTATTTATTATACCATAATGGTTACCCTTCATGGACAGTGTTTGGAGGAGCTTCCAGACTGATGCAGATTTGGAAGCAGGTGTGGCATCTACTTTCTAAATTGCAAGCCTCTGGAAACTCTATGAACATAGAGAAATGATGTTAATTATAGACCAGAGTTCAGGTCTTTTGTTCATAGGGTTGCTATGATTCATATTTTACTTGATGGCACTAAACCACTGCTTAGTGAGACGATTGTTGTTATGTTTGGAGGAACATTCTTTAACTTTGTACATCACTCTTTGTCAGTTTGCTCCACTGAGATAATCTGGGTTTGCTGTGATGTTGAACCTTGTGCCACTGGAATGTCAAATACCGTAAAGGTTTCCCAATGTGGACAGTGTTTGGTGGAGCTCCCAGCTGTAAAACGGGTTTGGAAGCAGGAGTGGCATCCACTTCCTAAACCACATGCCTTTGGAAACTCTATGAACTTGGAGAAACGACAACAGTTCTGGAAAGGCATTAGGTCTTTTGTTCATAGAGTCACTGTGAGTCATGTTTGACTCGATAGCAATCAACAACAACAGTTATTTATTATAAAACAAATTCTTTTATTTCATTTTAAGTAATATCAAAATACGACATATTAAAAAGAATTTTTTAAGATAAAGAAAATTGCCGAATCCACCAGATGCTCTGCCGGGGAAGGAGGGACAATCTCCTCCTGTACCAGTCAGATCTGATTTGACGGTACACTCACTCACACACACACACAAAAGATAAAGAAAATTGCAATTCATTGACCTAACAGAGCTACAGATATTTTTCAGATTCCCACTACTACCACTGTTGCATCTGATATGTAGTAACCTAAGAAAAGAAGGCAGCCTAATAGAGTTTACAGGGCATTTTGCAAAATTCATTTATTGTTTAGTTCCCATTATAATTTTATATAAGATGTTATAGTTTTACATATTGATTTAATGTGTCTTTAATTCAAACTGAATGATGATTATTCTTCACCATAGTTTATAAAGCTTTAAATGAAACTATTTAAAATAAGCATAAGATTTTGTTTTCCATCCTGTTCCTAGAAACATCAAATGATGTCCCGGCAATAATGTCATCTCTGTGGAAGAAGGTAGACCATACACTTTCTCAGATCAGGTAACAAACATAATTATGTAATAAACTTATCAGAGAATACTTAGTTTGGAATGCAAGCATAAACAAGAAAAACTTTGTATTTAAAAGTTCAGCGTTAAACACTTAACAAAAATTTTAAATTAGCGGATTCCTTGGTCTCTCAAGACCATCATCAAGAACATCATCTGGGAGGTCCCTTAATAAAGTTGTCTTTAACCTTGCTTTCTTTCTCCCTGGTTCCCCTCAAGTCCATGACCTAACAGTAATGTCATTGCTGTTAGGTGCTATTGAGTCAAGTACAACCCATAGCTACCCTAGGAACAGCAGATCTGAATCCTGTCATGTCCTGTGCCGTTCTTACTCTCCCTGACACATTAGAGCCCATTGTGGCAGTTACTGTGGCAGTCCACTTCCTCGATGGTCTTCCTCTCTTTTTCTGCCTTTCTGATCATCATGTCACTCTCTCCAAGAAATAGCCCCTCTTAGCAACATGCCCATATGTGAGGCAAAACTTCATCATCTTTGCCTCCAAAGACCATTCCAGCTGTACTCTCTTCGAGACATTTGTTTGTTCCTTTGGCAGTCCGTGGGATTTTCAGCACTCTTCTCTAACACTACAGCTCAAAGGCATCAATTCTTCTGTTATCCTTATTCGTTGTCTAGCTCTCAAACGCACCTTAGTCCTTAAACTTACATCATTTCTCCTCAATAATTTGGAGACGTTCCCAACTTCAGGCATTCCCAGTGCAATACGTCTCCTGATTTCCAGATTGCTGTTACCAAGGGTGTTAATTGTGCACCCAAGTAAGATGAGGTTGATCTTTTCTTCAGCTGTCATTATGCTGCCTATCAGTCCAGTGGTAAGAATCTTTGTTTTCTTGACATTGAGATATAATCCATATTTAAGTCTATATTCTTTGATCTTTTGCAACAAATGATTCAAGTTCTTCTAACTTTTCAGCAAGCAAGGTTTTGTTTTCTGCGTAACACATCCCATCTCACTGGTATATATATTTTATATAATTAATTAGCATTTCTCTGCTTATTATCCCTCATTTGAAGTCCCCATTAAACCTTTCCCATTACCATCTTTTGTGGGAGGAGGGCATGACTTTAGATCTTTAGAATGCTGCTTTTTCTTACTCATCCCCCCAGCCCCCATGCTTATTTTATGTTCATTCAAACATAAGCCTTGGGCATAGTGCAAGCTGCCAGTGAAATCTGAACAGTCCCTAATTTAGGCTTATAAATGAAGACTGGTTGTAGAGAAGCTAATAAACATGAAGTCTGAAGAGATGGTGAAGACCCCAAAACCATCCCTTTCAACCTCCTGGACACAGTTTGCTTCCAACCCAGAAAAACAAGAAGCAGGCTTCAAGTTCTAATAGTCCAATTTTCAGAGACAATCTGCGTAATTCTATTAAACAAGGGGGTTACTAAAAATCCACTTTTTTTTCCGAGTGCATTTTCCACTAACAGACATCCATTTTGGTTTTGGGAGGAGCAGTGATAGAGACTAGGTGTCACATACCATTGTTGCTACAAAAATGTGTGATAAGAATTGTGTATAGGAAAATAAAAGAGATAAGGAGGGCTGGCAGGTGTGGTCACACCCTCTTGGCAGCCAGTTCCCTCTGTTGTTCTCAAGGCCTGGAACCTTGTGAGTCCGGGTCTAGCTTCCCTGGCTGCCATGGGGAAGCATTTAAGTGAAAGACTGTGAAGAGCAGCTTGTGAACAGAGAGCAGAGCTGGGATGGGTCAGTGGCCAATGTGAACAACAGGAGAGCTGCCAAAGACAAGACCGCACCCGGGGTTGACCACAGGCCCGTCAGGTGAAGGCAAAGAAGCAGCCACTGGCCAGGTTCCTGAGACAACATCTGTGATGGGCCATCTTGACCAGAAACTGAATTGGCAACCAACCTTGATTTACTGTTAACCCTGCTGGATCTGAAAATAAAGGATCACCTCACGACATTGCTTGGACCATTGTCTTCCCAGAGATCTCTTTGAAGAATAGTCTCAAAGGAACATTTCTCTCACACTCTCTTTTAATGTCTGTTTTTTACATGGACCAGGAAAACTCTCACCTGTGCTTGGCCTGCTCCAAGCAGCCAAAGGAAGCTTGCTTCAAGTTGTTTCTAGAACTCTCTAGCAGACACACCTCCCTATGTTGGGTAAATGTTCAAGAAGTCCTTTTCTGAACCTGCTTGGAAGGGTTAGCCCTTGGAGAACCTGTGACTTGAAGGCCTTGTAAGTGGATATTATCAGCCCAGCTTTGGAAGTTACAGAAGATTTCTTCAATTCTTCTGGTACTAAGCATGAAGAGGCTGTACAGCAAGCAGAGGTTTATGGGATTCAGGACTTCCCTGTACTGGTAGGGCACGAAGTTTTCAGTAACATACCAGACAGTGGTGCTATCAGAGATGTAGCCTCCTTGGGCAAAGGAGGGGGTGATTGGGACCACTGTAACAGCTGGCTGGCTCTTAGATACCAAAGCTCACACTGTCTTTTCTGCCAAAGAAGAGTTTCTAGTCCAGAGAGGAACAGCTCCAGATGACCTTCCTTGGATAGAACAAAAGGAAGCATCAACCTTCAATTTTTTTCAACATTTTCCAGCATTGGAGGGAAACACCTCCTTCTGTGAACGACCTATTGGACGAGACCTCTACTTTCAAGCTCGGGCGCACTCACTCTGGGTCAGATATTACTCAAGTGGACTGGAGGGTTGTCCTCAAATTCGTTCCCTTGCAGCAGCCGTCTCTGCCAGACCCTCCCTTCACTTGGCTGTCTTTTCTGTCACCTTCCCCAAATAAGATAGAAGATACACAAGGGTGTTTTTGTATTTGACTGCTGTTAAACAGCTATTGGGTTTTTCTTCATCAATCTAACATCTGCCTCAGAATATTACTCTCTGACATCCCTGTCTGATTTTCTTATATAAAAATTTCTTGTTCTAAAAAGTGGGAAAAAAATTACTTTTTCTTTTCTTAGATTGGAGAAGTATACTTTAATAAAATGTTTAGAAATGAGAAATAGGGGGCCTAGTGGCAAGAAGCTGCACTGCAGTCTCAGAGGTACAAGGTTTGAATCCACCAGATGCTCTGCTGGAGAATGAGGAACAATCTCCTCCTGTATCAGTCAGATCTGATTTGACAGTACACACAAAAAATAATGAAATAAAATAAAAAGAAATGAGAAATAATGACAATTGTAGAATTTTAATGACATTTCCAAACTTCCATTGCAACTTAGAGGCCTGGAACTAGCATTCAAGACTTAAGTGCACTCTGGTGGCCTAATCTGTAAAGAGTTAAACTGAGAACCCAAAGACTGAAGGTTCAAATCTACCCACCGCTCTGAGGGAGAAGAATGGGAAATGTGTGATTGAAGACCTTCAGTAAAATGTTGACAGTGACTCTAGCAGTGGACTCAAACATATCAGAGACAGTGAGGCTGGTATAGGACAGGGCAGGTACAGGTCTACTGTTGATAGGGCCACTAGGAGTCAATTGAATTGAAGGCCCCTAATGATAAGTGTGAATTACCTTGAGCAGTTGCTTTTTCACTGCAAGTTAAAAGACTTGGTATGTTAAATTGGTAAAAGAAGATCTGGTTCTTATGTATCCTGACTCTGTGTATCTTCCCATTGGATAAAGAACAGAGGTCAAAAAATATTTCTGGAATTTTTTTAGACTGAAATTCTGCGGAAAAAACACCTGGAGAAGCTCAATATCAACTGTGAAAACTAGGCCAGGAGCTGATTGTGGAACAGACCACCAGCTACTTATATGCAAGTTCAAGCTGAAACTGAGGAAAATTAAGCCAAATCCATAGGAACCAAAATATGACTTTGATTTCATCCCACCTGAATTTCAGAATCATCTCAATAACAGGTTTGAGGCCTTGAAAACTAATGAGCGAAGACCGGATGAGTTGTGGGAGGATGTCAAATGTATCT